GTGTGGACATGCTCTGTGTGGTGTTACAGTGTCCCCAGTTCTGCAGGACTTGTGTGAGCACAGGACTGCTCCCTTCAGCTCATGCCCCTATTTCCAGCAGGAATCATCGTGCTGCACCTTTTAAGGGTGCAGAACCTCTCCCAGACCATGGGCTGTGAAGAAAGCCATGTGGTACAACCTGCCTGTGGGGTCCACCCTAAACCATCCTAAACCAGAACAGCAGCCAGGTAAAGGCAGGGGGCAATCAGGGCAGGTAACAGGGCATCCCACAGTGCAGCCCTCCAGAGACAGGCAGTGCCTCTGAGACAAGGATGAGCAGCTGGCCAGAGGTAGCTGAAAACCACAATGGAGCAAATGTGACCTCCCAGGGACCCTTTGCAGGGAATGTGTCAGGGGGACTTGCTCCCATGCATCTCCCATGGCACCCTGAGCTGCAGCTCTGTGAGCAAAGCCCTCCCTGCCAGTCCTGACACGCAGTGCCCATCTCCTTCCAGGGTGAATTTTGGAGGGCAGCAGACTGAATCCTGCCCCCAGGAGGAGCGAGGCTGCTGGCACTGAGCTGTGTGCATCTCTGTGGTTCTGCTGAGAGGAGCTGGGCTGTGCTGAGGGAATGCACACAGCTCTGCAGGACAGCTGCTGAGCCCAGCAGCCGCTGCAGCCAGGGATCTCTCTGCCTAGCAAGCGCACATCCTGCCCAAATTGTGTCCCCTGCTGTCACTGTGGGCAGTGGGCTGCAGGCTGCCCTTGTCCTGCCTGGGAGAAGCCCTGCAGGGCACCCAGTGTTGGGAAAGCTCTGAGTGACAGGGGAGCTGGATCCTGGACAGAGCTGGACTGGAGATGGATTGCCTGCCTGCCAAATGTGGACATTAGACAGGGAGTTAGATTAATGGGAGATGGCTCTGCCAACAGAGAGGTGAGTCACAAAGCTTGTCCTGTGCTGAATCTGTTTCTCCAATAGGGAAGGAGTAGGAGGATTTAGCAAGATTAATCTCTCACGGAGTTGTGAGAATAGCCAAGATTCATGGGCTTCTCAGCAACAAATTTCCAAGTAAGCAGACAGCACTTGGGCTTGCTCCATGTGACACAGCACAGATCTGTGCTGGTAACTCTGGGGTTTCCTGGTCACAGGTGAGATTGACCACACTCCTGTGCTCACACATGAGCCCTGCACTGCACAGGCTGCACAGGAGCACCAAACAAAGCAGCTTGAACGCATCAATCCCCTGAATTTCCCTGAAGTGGTCTGCAGCTGCTATACCCAAACAAACAATGCTGGACCTTGCACGGAACACGAGAAGGAGCTGAGAAAGAGCTCCTTTTGGCAGCTGAGAGGAGCTGGTGACACATCAGATGGAGAGTTTGCCAGGTCTCTGCCATCTTTGCATGAAGGCAGAGCAGGAGCAGGGTTGGACAAGAGCCAGAGCACCTTTCCTGGTGTGAGCAGCACTTCCCTCTGGACAGCAGTTTGTGATACAGCACTGACACACCTGGCAGGACCTGTTAGAGATGGGGAAGGCAGAACAGGTTGGTCACAGCTATTCTTTGGCAGATGATGGGGAGCTCTCAGGCTCCCCTGTGTCTACCTCCTACAGAACTCCAGGAAGTCTCCAGGAAGGAGAATGAGGCCAGGAAAATGAAATCTTGGTAAATGGGTTTTATATGGCGGTAAATGGGTTTTATGTTGTGTTTTAAGGAGCTGTGGAGAGAAAAATCTCAGTGCTAGTGAAACAGAGATTTTTTTTTTTTTGGAAAAGGAAGATTTCCATTCCATGTTGGGAGTCCTGTTTCTTTCTGATATTTCTTCAGTTGTTCATGTCATGGCTCTTCAGTCTGAGCAGTTTTACAAATGTGTTGTGGAGATGAAAGCACCAGGGAAAGCTGCTCAGGATCAAGTTGGAAAAGCTTTTAACTTTCAACTCCTTACAGACAAAGGCACAGAGAGGAAGGGGGGAAGTGCAAAGACTGGGAAAAGGAAGAGGAAGAAGCAAAAAGAGATAAGGAGAATAGAAGAGTGAAAGGGACAGAGCAGAGAAGACAAATCACAACAAGAAAAGGAACAAGGCACCAGCAGAAAGAAAGGGAGAGATAGGGAGAGAACAAAGCAAGGGGCCTGGAGCTCAATGAGATGGGGAGAGTATAACAGAGTAAGGGAACACTGCTGCAGGTAGAGGAAAGCCAAAAAATACAAAAGAGCTATTTAAACACTGGGGTAAAGCAGTGATGAGAATAAGAGAAAAAGAGAAGCCAGATGGGGACTAAATTCTCATGGAGATAAAGGGGATGGCAGCAAAGCCAAAGGATAACCTGTCCATCCTTCTGTCACTGCACAGACAAGACATGACATGGCAGTGACATGTCAGCTTCTCAGAGGGGCTGGGACACAGCTGTGGAGTCTGCACTCATGGTCATGGGGAGCCACAGGAGTGACCATGTCACTGGTGGTTCTTGGTTCTCCTGCTCTGCATCCTCCATCTCTGCTTCCCCGTGGTGGCTCCTGGCCATTTGAAGCACCCCTGGTTTTGGGTGTCATGGAAGGACTGTCATAAAGTGCCTCACTGTGGTGCTCTCCTGGGCTCATCTGGGAGCTGGGAGGGTCAGGCTGCCTGGCCTTACCAGCACCTGCATGGCAGCAGCAAGGGGGCATGGAACCATGGAGTCATCATAGCATGGTGTGGGTTGGAGGGGACCTTTAAAGGTCAGCTAGCCCAACCCACATGTGATAAGCAGGGACTTCTTCAACTAGATCAGGCATGGAGAGGCTGTACCACAGGGGAGGGGGCAGTGGGAGGAGAGAGAAATCTTCTGTGTCAGCAAAAACAGGCTGGAAAAGGGCACCATGGCTACAGACAAGTGCTGGGACCATCTCCTCCCAGTGTCACACCAGTTTAGCGGGCTCAGCTCCACCTGCAGTGTGCGAGGTGACCTCTCGGCTGCCCCAGGGGAAGGATCTGGGTGTTCCCAGTGCCAGTGTCCTAGCTGGCACCAGAGCCTTGCAGGTGTCCCGGGGCTGGGTTGGCACTGAGCACACAATCTCTGTTTGCAGACTGTGTTAGCAGAGCAGCAGCTGTGCTCCAGGCTTTGCTCCTTTCCCTACAAGAGCATCAGGCTCAAGTGGGATCCACTTTGGCAGCAGTGCTTGCAGCTGGCAGGTCTCTCAGTCTCACACTGGGATTGAGGACATTTCTAGATGCTTCTGTGTCTGAAGGGGCTGATGTGGAGCATTTCCTGGGATGTCTTGAGGGTCGCCTTGGCCTCTGAGGGTGGGAGTCATGCAGCAGTAGGGTGGTGGGAAGCCTTGTGCCAGCCAGTGCAAAGGTGGGAAATAAAGCTGCCAGAGCTGCTGCTGGGTCTGCATCCTGCTCATCTTTTGCTCCTGGAAAGGAGGAGCCACTCCTCCTGGGTCCATGCTGTGCTTATGAGCCTCTCTTTTGCTTTCCCCTCACCTCTCCCTCACCTTCAGGGCACCTGCCTGAACAGGAAGCACCAGATCCACATATTTGTGGTTAACCTGCTACTGGGTTACTACTGTTTCTTGACCAAATTGGCCAAGCAGAGGATTTGTTTGTCTTGTACACAAGGTGCTGTACAAATGGAGCAACACTGCATTCCCTCCTCTGGTGTTCTCTTGTGTTCCTTTCAGGGCCAAACTCCAAGGCCAAATAACAGGATGCTGTGAACACAGGAGAGCATTTTCTCCAGGTAAGATGTGAGTGTCTGGGCAGTGGAGACTGGGAAATGTCCCACTGGAGCCTGCTTGCCTGAGCTGTGACTAAAACCTGACTTGCAAGGTTTATCCATCTCCAAATACAGTGCTGCAGTCTCACTAGCCTTGAGCTTCTTCCTGCTTCCATCTTCCACTGGCCCAGACTGGTCTGTGGATCCTGCAGCTGGTGTGTGACTCTACTGAAGGCAACAACTGTGCTGCCACTTCTGCCCCTGCACCCTCAAAAGCTGCTGAGTCAGGACAGTGCCCACCACGCTTCGAGCAAGACTCTGCAGAAGGCACCAAAGAGCTGAGGTGGGTGCTGAGGATGCCAACAGCCATGGTGCCCAGTGGGAGAGGGTCTGACAGCCCCAGGCTCAGCCCCAGAGATGCCCAGAGCCCCTGACAGAGCTCCTGCTACGATGCCACTGGGCCATCAGTGTCTGGCACCATCCAAAGGCAGCAGAAGTGTGGGCTGGGGTCTCTCTGATGCCCGGCACCCCGGCTCAGCCCCGCGCTCCACGCACTGAGTCGGATCTCAGTGCCGGGCACAGGAGGGCTGATCCTTACCTGGGGTGGCCGAGTCTGCCCCTGCCCCCGTCCGCGCCCCGCTCCCGCCCCCGGGGCGGCCGGCGAGGCCCCGGGGCGGCGGAGGCGATGCGGGCACGGGGCGGGGGCACCGCGGGCTGGGGAGCGGAGCGGAGCCGCGGGCAGGGCAGAGCCGCCCGCCGGGGGCCGCGCCAGCCCGCGGGGGAGCGGGGCCGCATCCCGGGAACGGGCGGGTCCCCAGGGCGGGTCCCTGGGGGAGGCTCCGGGGCCAGCCCGGGGCGCGGACCCGGCGCTCGCTGCATTCTCAGAGTCTCCAGCAGAGGCTGGGCTGGGCCGGGCCGGGCAGGGCTGGGCAGGGCTGGGCTGGCGGGGAAGGAGGGGAAGCAGGCAGGGAGCGAGGGGGAGGAAGGCGGCTCTCGCCGCACATGCAGCCCCCGCCGCGCTCCCGCCGCCCGCGCCCCGCCTGCGCCCTGCCCGCCCGGTGCCAGCACCGGCTCCGCTCGCCGCCGCCGCCGCTCGGGGCTCCGCGCTGCTGCCGGGGCTGCCATCCGCTCCGTGCCGGGGCGCAGCGGCTGCGCTCCGCTCCGTGCCCGCCTGCCCGGGCTGCCATCCGCTCCGTGCCCGGCCGCCGAGCCTGAGATCCGCTCCGTGCCCCGCTGCCGGGCTCCGCTCCGCTCGGTGCCGGGGCTGCGCTCCGCTCCGTGCCCGGCTGCCGGGGCTGCCGGGGCTCCGCTCCGCGCCGCGGGGGCCCGCAGGATGCCGCGGGAGGCCGAGCGCCCGGCGCGGGGGAGCCGCCGCGGCCGCCGCCCCAGGTAAGAGCGGGGCGGGCGGGGGCTGGGGGGCGGCGGGGGAGCCCAACTTCTCCGTCCCTCGCCGCGCCGCAAACTTTGCCGCCGCTCGGCGGGGCTGCGGCGGGCGCTCCCCGCGGGTGAGCGCGGGCTCGGCCCGGCCCCGGGGTCGCCGCCGCCTCGGGCCGGGCAGTCCCGGGCAGTCCCGGGGTTCCCCGGTGTGCCCCGGTGTGTCCCGGTCTCCTTGGTGTCGGCGGGCGAAGCCAGAGGTTTGATGCCTCCAGCGCGGCCGCGCCAGCTGCGGGTCCGTGCACACCCTCCAATTAAAACAGTTCGGTGCTTGAAGAGCTGCGGCTCCTTTTTTCACCGGTGGTATCTTAAAACATTCTCTTCGGGCTCCTTCCTACCCACGATCCATCTCCCCATTTCTCTCACTGAGAACGGAGCTTTCATACCCATTCCGTACCCATTCCGTGCCCATTCCTCACGGAATTTGCTTTGGGCGCGTGTGGATGTGTGGCTGCCATACCCGAGGGACCCAGCGGGAGCCCTTAGAGCCGGCCGGGTAACATCTCCCTTCACAGAGCCACATTTTTTTCTAACAACAAACTAAAAATAACTGTTCTAAAACTAGCACTTTCCTCATTTAAAATGTGGTTCCCAACCAGCTGTGCTCAGGCCTTCTGGGAGCGGGATCTGCAGCCGCATCTGCTCCCTGCGTGCCCTGGCCCAGCGCTGCCTCGCCAGGTGCCTCTCACCCACCCTGGGCTCCCTGGGAGTGGAGCGATGCACTTGATGCCTCTTCGTTTTCCTTTGGTTTCTGACACTTTTAACATCCTGCACAGTCTGGGGACATCTGCCCTGTCTCCTCACCTACCCTGGTTTTATGCATGAACAGCACCAGTTGTAGGGGTGATGGTGTAGGCAGCGGCGAGGAGGGGCAGGCTCGGGAGTTCAGACTGAACTTCATGAGACAGTGCCGCGCACCTCAGGGATGCCTTTGGACCTGAAGGATGGGTGGGTGGTTTCGAAGAGCTCTGGTTCTCCTGAGCTTGTTTGCATGGCCTGAGGAAATGAATGGGGGAATGTGCCTCTCTCTCCCTGCTCCTGGGTTGGTCCTTGCGCTGTTAAAATGCTGTGCTGCAACACAGGCTTGCATACTACTGAGGAAATCTCAGCTCATGACTGTTTCTTTGGGACCTGTTTCTGTCTCTTCAGAGTACCCAATGCACAGAGCATGGCTGAAGCCTGCAGTCTCTGTACTCGCAGATTGCTCAGAACCTGGGCTTTGCCATGTTTTCCCTATGAGGCTGATGAACGCTCTCCACTTCTTTCAAGAGCGCTGGGTAATGAGTATTTGCAGCAAACAATTATCAGGGTTGGAGATCATTGTCCTGGTACATCAGTTTTTAAATGCTGAAAATAAATTGTTTCTCTGGCTTTAAGTCTGAAACGGTTCCTCTGTGCTGGTGCTGTGTTTGTTTGTGTTCAAGGCCAAAAGGTGGTTGTGCTGCTCATTGATGAATTCCCTGAAATGTTGACAGCACCCTGAGAGCAGCACAGGGTAGAGCCCGCTGAAATCTAAATAAGGTGGCCCAGATTCTGTGCTGACTTTTGTCTCACGTACATCTCTGCTCCAGTGAGGTGAGGGTCAGAGCAAGTGAGGTTTGGTCTCTGTATGAAATGCCGGCTGCCGAATAATACCGTGCTGAAATTGGTGGGCTCATGAAAGAAAAAGTATGTGCTGTTTCATAGGTAAAAAAGCCAGTTTTGTTCCTTCTGGGGGAAAAAAAAATGCCCTTTGCTTTTTGGTGCATTGACACTTTATAATATGATATGGTGATTTCATACCTATGACAGACAAGTGGCTACTGGAACAAGGTCAGTTTTAAAACTCTTTTTCAAAAGAAGCTAGCAGGCCTCCAGAAAAAAAAAAAAAAAAAAAAAAAGGGAAAGAAAAGGTTGTCTTTGGGTTAAAAATAACAGTTAAAATCCTATTCTTACTAGCTCCATCCCAAAAAATACCATATTTTCATGATTTAAATGTCATGTTTGAAAGAGTCATAGTTCTTTCTTGTGTTTAAGGATTATGAGAAAAGGGTCACAATTTGCTCTTTGTTGTTTATATTGTCTGGTCAGCTTTTGGGCTTTTTTTTTTTTGCACATTAAAAATAATATTGAGCTAGCAAGGCTTTTTTTGTAGCAAATTTTACTTTTGTGCTCATAATCACTATCCCATAGCAGTAAAATTTGGCTGGAAATGTTGCAGAGGGAATGTTTGTTTATTTGAAGCCCCTTTTTCAACCCAAAGACTTTATTTCATTAGAAGGATTAGATTGTTCGTGAAAGCTTTGAAACAAAACTGGACTTCAGGTGGGATTTAATCTGCTGCTATTTCTTTAAAGTACAATTACTTATTTTTTCAAATGATTAGTTTTTATATTTTAAAAGCCTACATTTTAAAAGCAAATGAAAACAGTTTGAAAAAGAAATGGTGTGGTGACACTTGGGTTCTTGTGACATCATGTCGCTGAAGAGTATTCGTGCATAAGGATACAGCCATGTATGAATTTGTGCTGTTATCTTTTAACCATGTGGTTATGCAACTATGTTTGGGTTTACAAGCAATGACACTTCTCTGCAGATAAGTCCATGCATATCCCGAGGCACAGGCCATTTTGAGTGATCTGCTTTCTTGAGAAATTACATGTAAAGATGAGGTGGGTGTGAATCCCAAGCAGATTGCTTGCCCGAGGTTGTAGGTGGACACGGTGTGCAGCTCCTTGCTGTTCTCAGGATCTCTTTTGTCTTACCACCAGTTTATCCCATGGTGTTTCTTTGTGAAAGGGGTGCCCGATGGGGAGGGATGCCACCAGCTTTGCCTCAGGCTGTTGGTTGCTCTGGGAATGCCCTCAGCACCGTGTGCTCTTGGCTCTGCAGGGAGCAGGTCCCCTGTGTCACCTTGCTCTCAGGTGTGTGGCAGTCCTGGGCTGCAGGTGAGGGCACAGAGCTCTGTCCTTTGCCTTGGCTGCTGCTGCATTCTCGGGTCTCATGCCTGCATGTCCCTGTGAGCTGTGTCAATTGTGAAGTCCCTGCTCTACCCCAGCAGAAAAGCCAAGTCTTTGTGGCTGGATTTTGACAGCAAATCGCCGCAGACTTGGAGTATGGGGTTGGACTTGGACCCAGCTGTTCACCCAGCATGAGCTGGGTGTCCCCTGCCTGCTCAGCTCTGTGGGACATCTCTCTCTGCAGTTGTGTCCAGTTTGTGGGTTGGTTTCTGCTTGGAGAGCTGTGGAGGGCTCAGGCACGGGGCTGTGCTCCTGCTGGCAGCCACTGCAGAGACCCATCCTCCAGTTAGTTCACAGTTTCCTTTTCATGTAGTCATCACTTTCTATTATTTGCGAAGTCCATAAAAGGAATACAGCACATTACAGTAATTTTCAGTTTTATCCTTTGCAACAACTTTGCTTTCAGAGTCTAGTCCAGACCTTACCTTAGCCTGGCTCCGTATCTCTTGCATTTTTTCTTTCTTTTTATTGTCCTTTGTGGCAGGAAGAAGGGAGTTCTGTTGTATCCTGTTGGGGAATGGTTGTTGGATGGCATTTTTGTGCTGGTTCTGGGTAGCAAAAGTGGATATTTCTCCAGCAGTGTGTGCCTTTTGTTACCCCACAGGGCTGTCTGGGATGCCTGCAGAGGGTCTAGGTCCAGCTGTGGATCTTCTTTGGGATGCTGTTCCTCAGATCCTCTTGCAGTGTGGTTGGAATTCTTCTTGCAAATGGATGTCTCAGCTCTTTGCCAGCATTACAGCACCTTCTTCTGAGGCCTGTGGGACACTGTGAGCCTGAGCAAGGGCGTGTGGGGCCCATGGCAGTCCCAGAGCTCCCTTAGCTGTTGATGATTCCTGGTGCATGTGCAGAAAAGAGGGGTGCAGGACTGTGCTGGGAGGTGGGAGCACAAGGAGAGACTGTTCACAGCATGGGGGTGTCTGGGTGCCTGTGCCTCCGTGGCTGGGCATGCCTTTTGTGTCCACACAGGTTTCCAGGCGCTGTCTCAGCTGCTTCCACACTGCTGACCCAGCCCGGGTGGCGGTGAGGGCACACACCAGTGTCAGCTGGGGTGGCTCTCCCCAGACCTCCTAGAAGGCAGCTTTGCCTAAAAGGTGGGGGACAGACCCTGCTAAGCTGAGGCCCCTGCATTTTCCTTCTTGAAAGCAGGTGTAGTTGTGCCCTGGGGCACAGGAGAGGCAGCCAGCCCAGAGCTGGTCCATCTGCTCCAGCCCAAGGGCCAGGCTTGACTGCATCATTCATTGCTGCTACATCTGCAAGCTGGAAATCAGGGTGCTTTTCAGAAAGTGTCTCCTTTCTGCTGGGTGCCCCATGTCAGGACAGCTCACTGAACACAAGGCAAGGCTGCAATAATACTCATTGCAGCAAGGGCAGCACTTCTGTGTTCCCAGTCCTGCCCTCCTGCTCTTGTCTGGGAATTCTGCACTTGGTGTGCCCTGTTCTGCTGTCCTGCTTTTACTCACTGCCGTGCTCTGGCAGTGCCACCCATGAGTCTGGAGAAAGTAAACCCAACAGAACTCATTCAGCTTTGACTCTGCTCAGTGCTGCACTTGCTGATTTCAGATCTCTTGTGGGAGAGCCATGCCTTGGCTCACACTCCTCAGCCCCCTTCTCTGGGCTAAGTGCCTGTTAGCACTGCTGTCACACTGTTGTGGGCAGGGTCTGCTCCCCAGACAGAGCCACCCTGTTTGTCTCACACTGTCACTGCTGTCACGTGTGCTCAATTTGGCCCTCCTGGCTCATGATGGAAGCTGTGGCTGTGATGGAGGTGAAGCACCCACAGATTTGTGACTACCCTGTAGGAGCAGAGCTGGGAGCATCCTGACTCTGGATAGGGCACTGGTATGGCTGCTGGGCTGAAGTGGTCCTGTGCTTTGCTTATGGCAGTTCTGTGAGCTTTGGTGATTGGGAAATCCTTCAGGGAACCATGAAAGCAGAATTGTTTGTCCAATACCCTTT